CCAAAGAGAAGATCTTAAGATAACTTGTTAGATGGATACAAGTTAATGATGCTACATGTAAAATTGCATGTTCCTAAGTAGAGACTGGAAAATTTAACCATATAAATAATAGTTGTGTAATCAATTGTAAACATTTAATCAATGATTCTATAAGCTCATTTTGCGTATGAACATGTGCCATAGGATCTTAAACATCAATTTTAATAGACATGCAATATTCATTAAAAACTTGTGAAATAAATTCATCAACATTATCTAGACATATTTTCTTAATAGGTTAATCAGGAAAGTGTGGTCTTAATGTAATAAGTTGAGCAAGCAATCTCACAAATACTAGGTCACAAGAAGATAATAAGCAAACATGCAACCATTTTGTTGATGCATCAATTAAAATCATAAACTACTTACATGGTCTGCATGATAGGTGCATAGGTCCATAAATATCACCTTATATGTGTTCTAGAAATGTGAGAGGCCTATTTTTGTTGATGATAGTTGAATAATTAACTTTCCTTTAGAATATGTAGCGTATAAAAAATTATGGAATTTTGGAATTTGTTAACTTTTCAATGAATATCCACATGATTTCTTAATTATTTTTTGCATCATAATTGATCCAAGATAGCCTAACTAATCATACCAAACATTGAATTTATTATCATTTATAAACTTATAGTTTATAATAGCATGTATTTCAATTGTGTTAATAAATGTGTAATATAAGCCAAGGAAGAAATCATGTAACTCTTCTAGTATGCATTTTTTATTAGAAATTAAATTTACGATAATAAAATATTCTTTATTTTTTTCATTTGTTATCTCAATGTGGTATCCATTTTTGCGAATATTTTTAGAACTCAATAAATTTCTACTAGATTTAGTAAAATAAAATGGACCATCAATGCATAAGTTTGTTCCTCTAAGCAACAATACATTAGCTCTTCTACAGTCATCAATCATCTTTATACTTTTGAATATAGTTTGAACATTGATTTTTTTAATTACCAAAGAAGAAAAATATTTTTTATTTTTGAGTATTGTATGAGTTATTGCACTATTAATGAGACATGTGTCTTCATTATTGTCATTGGTACCAATTAGAAGAATGCTCATTCTTGCAACGAGAAACCTTACCATCGAACCTTTAGATTACCAAAGCTTTTATGTTAATAACATGTTATGAAATTAAGCAACTAGAAAAATAACGATATTGAAAATAAAAGAGACAAGAAAATGAAAGAATTTCTTATATATTATTGTACTTTTCAATTTAAATAACATGCCCTATTTAGAAGCATAATTTTACACATCAAAGATTACACACATGATAAGGTAAATAAAGAGTAATCAACTCTTATAATGATAAGAGTTTTATAGGAGAACATGAAGATGAAGAAATGAGAAAGAAGTACATTCACTCTTCTTTAATATTCATAACAGGTATAACTATAATAAAATTGCTCTAATCTATGTATCCCAAAAAAAAAAAAAAATTGCTCCAATCTTGAAAACTTTGACTGTTCACATCAATTGCCGTGGTTTATTAGACAAATTAAAAGGTGGCAACTGACAATCGTCATAAGCATCCATGTACTGCGTTATTTAAGCATTCATTTGCTCATTTCTTTCACTTTAATCACTTCATATGTCTTATTTTTTTACTCATATTATTGATATCTCATAAATGTTAAAGAATGTTGAAATATTATTTAGAAAATGCACAAAATCAAGAAAACAATCATGATAAGAGCTGGGATGTCCGTATAAAGATATACTCACAGTTTCAAGCACACATATTTAGGAATGTGTGTCACAGCTAATTTTTTCAAGCACTTGTATCATACCTTTTCCCTTGTCATCTGATCATAGGTACAACCTTCACAATGTATGTCTTCCGAAAGGCTCATTTAATATTGTTGAAATATCATATAATAATTCTAATGTTTTACTGGTATTTTCATTACTCAATCCATGTCAATTAAAATGACACATCTTGATATCAAGATCAATTAAAACCTACAAGAAAGTGAACGGTGTGATAGATCTGATCAATTACAAGCATTCATTACTTTCACCATATATTGAATTCACAACAACTACAATGAATTAGAAAATTTGAGGTGGAACAAGACATAGGCTAATGTCAAATTGAAAGTAACGTTCACCATTCTTTTGAGAAAGTAATTTAATTAAAGTCAAGTCAGTAATGTGAAAGGGTAGCGTTTAAAGGGAATATATATTGAGGGGCATGGGACAAGGATGGCTATAAAATAACCATCCTTGAAAGAAAGTACTCTCATCTTTAAGTTAAAGGGAATGAAAGCCTTTCCTTTTTAAAAAGCATTGATAAGGCAGTTGCTTTCGCCTTTGATTGGGACTTCATCCTTCCACCCACTTAACCAATATCCACACATACACACTTGCTCTCTAAGCTTTGGAAGTCAAATGTGTCTTTGTGCATTTGTGTGTATATACGATTACCGATATCCGGTCGTTTATACATAATCTTGAAGTGCTGATCTACAAGGAATTTACACAAGATATTCATGTTAAATTTTAAACTCGATTAACCTATTTTTATATAATAATTTGTATTATGCACTATTAGATTTAAATATTTTTAGGTTTAATTAGGACACCTATACTAATGTCCTAGCAGAATGAGTTATGATCGTTTAAACATAAAGTATTAGGTTTGAATTCATGTATAAATGTAAAAAAATATTTTTGAGAGAATGACTTTTCAATTGAGTCTAACAATGTTTGAATATGATGTAGTTAGAAAATTATATAAAAAATACCTCTCTCGCAATATTCACTTCTAAGGTTCCGTCTCTGACGTTGTTTAAGAAGAATTAAATTTATTTCAAGCAACTTAAAAAATGAGTATAATTTTCTGTTTTTTTTTTTGGCCAACGAGTATACTTTGCTGTTAGAAAAAGGTACTGACGCCAAATTCACGCTCTTTTATCTTTCTATTAATTAATAAATAGTGTGATACACTTCTCAACGAGCGCGCAAAATAATTTTCTTTGCTTATGACTAATGAGTATGAATTTTAGTGGATAACCACTCTGTCCCCGCGAAAAAGAGGAGCTCCGCGTCAAGTCAATTAACGAACAGTTAACATGACATCAGCTCAATTTAAAATTGAAATAAATTTCATATACAAAAGTAAACCGATCGATGCTTACCATGCTTCTCAATTCTCACATAAACCCAGAAAAAAGAAGAAAGAGACAAGTTCTAATGCCAAATCTCCGTATATTATTAATTGAGTGGGTAATCTATAAGGTCTGCAATCAGAATAAAAAATTCGTCGCACTGGAAATCCAAAAACCTCCAACGGAATGAAGAGTAAAAGAAGATGACAAACATATTATTCCACCGAAGACAAGCTTCCCGCACACATCAGGAAACCAATTATGAAACTGAGATTTCTTTTTTTTCTCCTTTGAATATGAAGATATTATTTGTTATTTTGTAGTTCTGATCCTAAATTCGAGTAATTTAAGTAGTGGATAGAGACTTAGTTCTAGGTCTCCAACATCACCAACGGAATGATGTTGTTAAATCATCAGGTCCCATGGTCAGTTCTCTCTGTCTCATAGTTGAGGGGCAATTTTTTTTTTTATCTCACCTAGATTCGGTTGAAAAAAACATCAAGAACAAGAGGCAAAATAATTCGACTTTATAACTATGATTCAAACGCAGCCGATTGATATCGTTATGGTGAAACATCTGGTCAAGCTTCAAAAGGAAGCACACAAAACATAGAACCTGGCCCAAAGTTGTACCTCCAATAAGAATTTGGGACCACGCTGTTCTTTACCTAAAAGGAAAAAAAAAAAAGAAAAAGAAAAAAAACAGACTTTGTTAAGTTGAAGATGATGATATGAAGAAACAAGAAAGACAGAGAAAACAAAATCTCAGACTCAACAACCCCCCCTTGGCCCGGCGGCCGGAACACCAAACGGAAGTCACCAAAATTGTGAGGATCAAACTGAAGCCAAATGTCTCAAAAGGACAGTCACCTTCGCAAGCCCTTTAAAATCCTAAAATATCTGTTCGGAGGTAAGATCCAACAGGACACCATTTGTTTTAAGCTCCATCTTTAAGTTACGCAAATTTTCCTCTCTCTCTCTCTCTCTCTCTCTCTCTCTCTCTCTCTCATATGAAAAATATATATTTTTTAATTCACAATTAAGTTTCTTTTTTTGGGTCTGAACTTTCTCATATTCTTGTAGGCTCTAAGCCAGAACTGTTCAATGATTGGACCAAGCCATGGGTTAACTTGGACTTGACATTTGAGTCAGCAAACTTAGCCCAATCCAAATCCAGACTTTTTATTAGTAGATTTGGTCATCAGTGGGCCTATATTCCCCAGTTAGGTTTTAAGACTTTGAGCTAAAGCTGGTGAAGAAAAAGTTACAACAGAAACATGAAGATAACCAAATACAATGTAATGAACTAAAACCTCATTTGGTATGATAGAAGAGTTTTTGATAGAATCGAAATTGAAATTGAAATTAGAATCGAAATCGAAATCAAAGTTGAATTGATTTTAAAAGTGTGTTTGGTGTGAAGATGGAATCATTATATAATTTTAATAATATATATATTTAAAATATAAAAAATCAAAATACCCTTTATTTTATTTTTTTAATGAAAAACTTAACAATAAAAAAATAAAGAATATACTTTTAAAGCTCAAAATACCTTTTATTTTATTTTTTTAATGACACATAAGCCAATTCCATGTTGAGTTGGTGGATTCTATAGTCCCTACAATGGAATTGGATTCCATCAATTTTGATGGAATAAGATTCCTTCAAGAAAACAATTCTGGTATACCAAACAAGCCAACCGAAGAATTTCATGTCCAATTTCATTTCCCTTTTCACAATTCTGATATACCAAACATGACCTGAAATTTAAATTCTATGGAAGAGGCACCTAACAGTGTTTTGAATAAAATTAGAGAATACTTGTAAGAAGAATAAACATGAAGGCAGGGAAAGTGCATAAATAAATGTAACTTAGATGCCACAAATTCTCGCATTCTATCACCAAATCTATCTCGCCTTGATGGTGAAGTAACTTGAATCATTATCACAAAAATGAGCAACGAAAAATATAAGCAAACAAATGGCATACAAGGAAATAATGTGAACGTTAAGTAAAATACTACGGAATAAAACTGTTCACTGCTTTACCACTAGAGGTATACTTATTGGTCCCTTTTAGCAGCGGAGAATATATAAGACAGATTAAATGAGGAATCCGCGGTCCTATCCTATTCCGTATCCCTAAAGCTTTCGCTTGTCAGCCACAATTTCTTTTGGATGACAAAAATAACTTCATCTCCGTCCTGGTCAGACTCAGAACTGGAATCAGCAGTTTCAACTGCTTCCCAGTGCAATGCTGGTAGGTATTTCTTTATAAAGTCAATCACAGGTTGTTTATCGTGGATGATTACAAAACCGGTCGGCCTAAGCATGCGGTCCATCTCAAGTAATAGATCTTCTGGACTGCAATCCCTCTTTTCGAGGTCAGAAAAGACAGTCCATGCATGAAGTAAATCATAAGTCCGGGGGTAAGTTGAATATGCTTCACACCTGCCAAGATATATTCAGTAAACGTGGATCAAGTCAATGAAATATACTTCAATCTGAATCTAGACAAACTAGAAATTGCTAGTGAACAGGAATAGAATCATGAATAGCCTACAGATTCCAGCAAGTAAAAATATCTTTCTTGGCTATCTCCCGCATTTTATAATGATTAATGAATACGAGTTGTCTTGCAATAATCAGGCATTGACGTTAAGATCAGATGCTTCAAGGGGTAAAACAAAATATATGACTAAAAAGGCATGCTACGGTGTTACGAAAATAAAAATAAAAATACAAAATTCAGGCAAACTGATCTCCGTACCAGTCATGGAGAGAGCCTATCAGGCCTCTGTCATATATAATCTTCAGTGTGTTTGGTCCATTTGGAGGCACAACATTCATCACCCAAACGTCCTTGCCTTTAAGAGCAGCTGCAAATGACCCCATGTTTGCCTTCATGTCCATCACATTCCTTATTGTGTTTGACGTGAGTTTTGGGCTCAGGATACTCCAATACTTTTCAACTCTCCTTCGCCATAGTTCCTATTACATGGCAAAATGAAAACTCAGTGTTATTATCAATCTGATCATTTAAGAGAGTAACTTCCAATATCTCACAAGTAAAAAGCATATAACTCTAAATTACCGTGTCCTTTAGAAACATTTCACTTGCATAGCCAAAGTCAGCTAGTCTAGGAGGAGGACTAGTCAGTCTTTCAGGCCATGGAGCCAATCCACTGCCCTGGACTTTGTGGTCATCTGATAAAGCCAACAAAAGTTTCAGTAGATAAAGATTTCAAGCCCACTTTAAAGTCAACAACCCAAGGCTAGATCTTCTAAAAATAATTGTTTTATATAGACTTAAAAGTATATACGATGATTTTAGCAGCTTATATCCAGGCCAGATGCACTTAATAATGACTTTCAGGTGAAGTCATTATTGACAAACCAAATCAGGTCATGAATGGAGGATATAGTACAAGAAGATCATTTAATGAGCACTGTAATAGCAGACTTAAGCAGTGAAAATGCACAGCATGCTTCGTTTTACTAACATGTATCCCTATTTTTCCTTAGGCTAAGATAAAAGAACTACCCACTACTTTGCCATGTGCGCCTGAAAGAAGTTGATCTTTTTTTTTTTTTTGGCCTGAACGTAAAACGTCCCCCAATTAATCAAGCAAGGCATAAAACTAAACATTTTATTCTTTGGTCATTCTCTGTACAACCAATTATGATTTTCCATAGCATCTCCCTCTCTTATCATAATTATCAATTAACTGTCAACTCATCTGGTGAGTGCTGAACATGTTGATCTCGAACCTGATTCAAGGAGGGAATGATAATCAAATTTTACCAAAATGATCATCAGCTGTTTAAAAAGAACTAATAATCTAAGGTTTCTCTGCCAGGTGGCAGTAGATGCAGAATCTAAGTCTCCAGGCAACCCACATTTATTTCATTCATATTCTGAAGGATAGGCTTGCAGTGACTTTAGGAGATTACCCCTTGATAATTATGACATACTAATTCTTGGATATTTTTAACTTCCTTTTTGTTCTTAGTTTCTGTTGTACATTTCTACCCCAGTGAAAAATAATGGCAAACTACTAAATAAACAACTATTAATTAAGTTTTAGTTACCAAGATATAAATAGTCACCAAAAACTGAAAAAGGCATCAGATAGCAAAAGAAAAAGGTACTCACGATCAGAGTAAGGTGTAATGCACGCTTCCATATTCACATTCCACACTGCATCTGGATCATCATCAGACTGGCAGAGTGGAGGGCGAGTACCAGGTTCTCTTTCCATATAGCAATCATTTGACAAAGGCTTTTGCCAAATGACAGTTTGGTTCCTTTTCGCAGCTATTCTCCAACACATGCGTCCCACAAGGTCACTCATTTCTCTCCATATCCTTAGATCCTCTTCATCTTGTGCATAGGCTTCTGGAGATGAGTATGCAAAATAACCTCCCGGCCTAAGCAACCGGTCAAGTTCAAGTAGTAGTATGCCATCTCTTTGAAGCCAATCAATCCTACATCGAGAACAATGAGCAAGTTCAAAAGATCTACTTGGGTAAGGGAGTCTCTTTGTTCCCAAGACACCAAGATATGCAGGGATTCCTCTTTCTAAGGCAAATTGAATTTGATTTTGATGCACATCATTGGGTGCCAAGGACATTGCAATGATATCAGATGAAAGAAGATATCCTCCAAAGCTTGCAACACCACAGCCAACATCAAGCACTGTCCGCAAATTTCCATCATTATTAAGTATGTTGTTTGAAAAGTTGAGCATCTGGAAAGTGCAAACTCAATGTAAGATACTCCTCTATGGAATGCATAAATGAAATTCAGCACAGTCAAATAGGGCACCAAAGACTATGCAGTCTTATGTAAGTTGTAAGTTATATGCCCGTTGACACATTTACATCTATAAATAGATGTACATATAACACACACAGTCACAGTCACATGCGCGCGCACAAACTTGTATAATACATAAACACAGAAGCTTGTGAACCCAAAAAAGAACATTCATGTTTTCACTTTTTCCTACAGGCGTGGCCATTAAAGCCACATGCAACCTTACATTAGCAATTGCTGCAATGTACTTATCGGCTCCATAGTGAAAATGGGTCCCTCCACCAGGAAACACTATCTTTTCACCTTTTACAACCATCCAGTTTTGGTCAGACTTCTCATGTGCAAGGTGAGTATGAGGTATATTTGCTTTCCACACCTCATCTCTGCTTTGTGGCCACTTGATAGGGACCTGCGACATCAAAAAAATAACAGCAACAGATATAACACTGGCAAAAAATAAGACAACTATTGATGAGGATAATATATATATATATATACACAGAACATTGCTTCAACTCTGAAATAAGATTAACCTTATATCCTGGTGGAGGAGGAATCAAGCAGTTGAACCGCCTTTCTGAAGGAGGGCAATGTCTCTCATAGTGTTCCATCACAGAGAGGTCCAGCTTCAATCTCATTTGATAGATAAGGTTTCTGTCTAAACAGGGAATCAACTCCGAATGACGATCATCACAAACCTTCACAACCAGAAGCATTGGAATGAAAAACAAATCATGAGAATTCTTTACCAATTGCTTTTATTCATTTCTTTCTTTCTTTCTTTCTTTTTTTTTTTGCTAAAGACTGTTTATATTAAATACAAAGATTATAATGGACATAAGGTTATTTTGAGAACCATACAGTTTAGGTGCCTAATTATCACCATGACAGAGGAACTTACAGGGAAACTCTTAGGCACGATATCAACCTCTGACTCTCCCTGCCCAAAACTTGATGAAGAATCATCTTGCTTGCTGATGGCATCGTCATCAGCACTTAAATATGATGACCCAAGTCGTTTTAACGATTTACTCCCATATTCAAGAGCAGATGTTCCTGTACTTTTGGATCCATAATACACATACAGGAAGCCAAGAAATATTGCTACAGCACAAATGGAAGCAACTAAATGCTTCTTTTGCGATCCATCAGATCTCCCCCTCGACATTTATTTATTAAGTGTGGTGCAAATCAAAATTTAACTTTTTGCTGTTTAGTTATATGCTATATATGATGGCAGCCAAGACCTTGTGTCTCAACAGATTCAATGTCAAATTTACCATAGGAATTTCCCTCCAGAATTATCAACCAAATTTTTTTTTATTGAATATCATAGTTCAGCTTCAGACAAGATCTTGCAAATATGACAAGCAGAATTAAAGAACAACCTGCAAAAAAAAGAAAGAAGGGAGAAGATTTCAGCACAAAAAATTCAGAAATTCATTCCTCTGCTGTGGATCTGCATGAATTACAGATTTTAAAAGAAAAAGGTTTGCCACCGTGAATTCAGACATTGATATGCTTTTTCAACATGGAAAATTAAGACTAGTGCTACTCTGTTAGTACCATGTTAATAGTGTAATCAGTAACCAAGGCAAGCATCATTAGAAGATTTAGGGATTTAAGGGGGAAATAAAAGAGAAGGAAAGAATGAAAGCCTCTGGTTCCCATCTGGCCAGAATTTCATTTCCTGCTTGTATTCTAATTGGCCAGGAAAAGTGACCAGAAGGGAGTGTGATTAAAGCTATTGCAATTCCGAACAGCGCGTTACACTTACAACTCCATTCAAAAGGTTGAATTCCTAGTTTCCAGTGAAACTCCATGAACTTAAAAATTCCATTTTCCAGGAGGGAAAATAATAAAGATAATTAAAGAACATAACGATAACAGTAATGTTAACAAATCACAAAGCCATCCGCAACTGCAATTAAGACCAAACCAATGAAAATAATTGATAAAAAAATCCATGAAGGTGAAAAGAAGCAAGAAGTTATTGCGAGATAAAAGCCCATAAGAACTCATTCGATTCTGAACAGCGCAGTTGATTTATATCTAGTAATAATGAACTTTGTGTCAACTACAAATCATATAAATTACATGGGGCTGCCAGATCTGGTGCAATGGAAAACAAAATTTGCATTAAAACGGAATAAACTCAATGATGATTCCCAATTGAGAGATGCAACAAGATGGGCCAAACTATAATATTGGGTGCGATGAATTTCAATTGCAACCATTTCCAAGGGCACTAAAACAATTGAATCAAACAAACCCGCATTGCGAACTCATCCAGATCCGGCAAAAAAAAATGCATAAAACCAACATACAAAGAGCAAGGCGAGAGCAAATAAAACATAGTTCAAGAGGAAAGCATACTGGATTCAGATCGAAATCTAAGTAGGTGTGATGACAGAAACGAATCCAAAGTTTTATGAAAGCCGTGAGTGATATGGAATGAGAAGGAATGAAGGCAGATGAAGATCAGATCTGAGAGACAGAGTGTGCTATAAAAATATACTATTTCGGGTAGTGACACAGAAAGAGGGGACTAGGAACTCAAACTAGGTACTCCCGCTTGCGTGGCACACTGAGGCTCGTCGAGGTCGTTAATTTAAGCTTTAAGGTGGTCCGTCTCTACGCGTTGATTGTCAATAAAGGACGAAGCAAATTGACCATTGATTAAGCTGGCATTGCCATTGTGATTCCATTCAATTAGTGGGATGCTACTCAACAATTGGGGAAATCTCCATCTCTAACAGTGATCACCTTCGCAATTTCATGGTACGGCTGTCGGCACGCTGATATTAAAAAAGAAAGAGGCAAAATTGCACTTAAGTACCAGAACGAGGCCGTGTTTAATTATTTTTGCCTCTATCTTATCCCAACAATGAGAGATAATTAAGGATTGAATTTTGTTTGAAGATATTTTTTTAAAAAAATTATGAATATTGACAAAAAATTCTCATAATTAAATGTATTTCTAAAATATTGGAAGAGAGAATGTATTAAAAAACTTAATTAATATTCAAAATATAAAAGATTACCGATTTTTTTCTAAAACATGACTAATATAGATGACAAGAGGAAATACTTTGGAAAATCTCTAATACTACTCTTAAAAAATAAAATAGCTTAATACGATAGTTTAAGGGGAAAATCTCTAAGAAGGACTAAACAATGAAATTATTTGGATCATAGATTCTTTTTGGCAATATCCTCTCCGTTAATTGTACGTTTAGTTTTTAGTTGGCTATAGTTTATTAAAAATTCATTGATAATTTGATTAAAAAAATTTATTTGACAAAATTTAATTTAATAAAATTCAATTGTTGTAATAAAATTTATATTTAAATATATTTTTTAAAAAAAGTGAATTTAAGAAATTAAAAGTTGTTTGTATTATATATAATAAATTTGAAAAATATTTTTGAATGTACAATTATTAAAAAGACATTAATTTATAATGTGCAATTTTTTTATACAATGCAATATATTAAAAATATTTATATATTTGATCCTACGTATTCAATATATTTATTTGTGATCAAAATCTTTTTGTAATATTAAGACAAACATTAAGAAACGTAATGTACATGAAAATGATATTAGACCAAAGCATTGCAAAACAACCAGAAAGAAAAATCAAATACAGAGTAAAAGAAATCCTCTTGAATTACTTGCAATTGATGGTGTTGAAACTAATGAAACAAATTATTCATGTCCAAGGTGATAATGTTGGAACTGCGTCTTAGAATGATATTGGAGTAAAAAATTGCTTATGATACTCTTAACTTGCACCGTAATATCGAGAAGATCATGTTGACTGCTGAATGATTTAATTCACCAAAGATTGCCCTTAAACAGATGAACAGAAACTGGGATGCATCTTGGGACTGTTTCATTAGTAGCTTACCATTGATGAATTGAGAGTTGAAACATATTGCAATGAAGCAGAGAGACTTTCTATCCTTGTTGAGTTTCTTGAACCAAATTGTCCACAACTCACAAGTAGGTAGAAAATTGGATTGAGATTAACCTAGACATGAACTTGACGAAGACAAAGACCTTGATGTCGCAGAAGAAGACTAGGGGAAAATATGACAAAGAAAGTAGCACTAACTCTTGAAATCTTTCAATAAAAGATAAGAGATTGGAACTGAACTTTGATGGATGATAGAGTTCCTCAACAACCACATTCGATTTGATAAGATGATGATATGACAAATTGAGTCAAAATGTAAATCCTTATAAAGTTGCTTGAAAGTAGACATTAACCAATTGATTAAACTAGGATTCGGGAAAGCAGAAGTTTGGATATCCAAACCTCCAAAACCAAAGGGAATGGGCCAAAGCATGGTGAGCAAAAACAGGATCGATAGTTTCATCACATTGAAAACCAAAAGGACACAAATTGGTATTATCAAGATGATGGTCTCTAAGAATGTCACTGGTTTGGAGAGTTCTATTAAAGTAATTTCCACACAAATAAAATGTGTTATAGAGGAAAGTATAGTTGTTGAAGGGATTTCTTGCAAGGGAAATTCATCCATAAGCTAAAATTTCTTTCTTTGCCGAACATTTAGCAATTTGAAGCCTTTTTTAACAAAATACTCACCTTGAGCTTAATTCAGTCTAGCATAGTCAATCCTTTTGTTGGCTAAAGGAGAGGGGAGTATTAAGGATTAAATCTAATTTCCTTTGGTCATAAAGAGAGTGAATAAGTTGTGATTTCTATTCTCTAATAGACTAGCCACCAAAATGGTATAGAATGAGATCATGTACATGAAATGAAGTAGGATTAGAGCGGGAAGAGGAGGAGAAGTGGAGGAAGAAGTTAGTTGAAACCAAAAGGGGACCTTGTAGAGATATATTTGCGCAAAGCCCACTCTTCATTGCAAGATAGATGTTTTCAGGTTAGCATAAGAGCATACTCCTTTCCACAACCAAGAAAAATTGTAAGGATTTTTGATGATGGATGACGAATTAAGATTTATATATTTGACCTTCAGAGTAGTAGACATCACGAAGCCCCCATCAGCATTCATAATTCTCTAAACCTGCTTGGCTAACAAAGATTTCTTCACCAGAGTTGTTTGTCAAAACGCTCAACTACCTTGATTGATTGGCAAAAATAAAATATTCTTGCTTTTTAAATACAAACACTGAGATTTTTTTCCCATCAAATTGACACAAGTAAATTGTTTATATCTATTATTTATTTTAAAATAAAGATTTAAATCCTCTAAGGTAAAGATTTATAAATTTATTAAAATTTTTCCTTTTAATATTTTTGCTTGTTTTATGTTTTTTTATGAAATATAAAATATTCTCTTTCTTTCAAACTTCATCATAGTTACATTGAAAATTTTTGCTATATTTTGATTTAATAATAAAAAGTTATTAATTACTCTATCTAAATCATAATATAAGTCATTGTTAACTAATTTATATTTTTTAAAAAAGCTAGTTGAGATATTGCTTTTCTAAAAATTTCTGCGTCTTTTTGCGCTTTTGAATGTAATAAATATAACATTTAATTTATTTAAAATATTTTTATTAATTACTCAATAAAGTAAGAATTTAATTAAAAAATATATAAATTATATGAAATACTTTATATTTTAAATTAAGTAAAACTTTTAAAAAATAATTTATATTATAATACAGAGGAGAGAGTAACTAGCTAAAATAAGATGCAAGTATAAAAGCAGTTACAAAATGAAAGCCTTGATACGACCCCACATGGCAATTACCTGAGACAGATAGAACTATATACGATGACGACATCTTAATTCATAAGTTCCTAAAATAAAAGAAAATTTTCTCCAGCAAACCCACTAAAAAAGTAGTAGCATATATTCCTTTTATTTAAAAATATAATATATTTTTAAAAAATTAAATATTAAAAAATATAAGGTATTTTTAATTTTTTAAATTATAATCATTATTTTTTTTAGGAGTGTCCCTATTGATAATAAATTTATATTTATTATAGTGTGTTTAATAGAAATAAATATAAAAAAATAGGGTTAATTAAAAAATAACTGTTTTATTAAAGAGTAAGATTCGAGGGAGTATACTTTAACAAATTATTTCTTTGTCTAAGGAATGCAGTAAACGTCTCAGCACTTGTAGCTCCCATTTATAATGGCTAGCATTGGGTCCTCTGATGTGTGTGTGTATTGAGAAAATTTTTAGCGAAGATCCCTTGGAGTAATTTAATTTTAATCAAAACTCTTAAAATTATAAAATTTTACTGCACAAATGGAGGATTGAAATAAAATTAAAGAGCTTAGTAAAATAATTTTATTGTCCTTGATAAAACTATGCGAATGCATAACTCATGCATGAAAATAAATGAAACAATTGACGTTAGTAAAATTTGTAGCTCTCATTAATAGCATAATATTGTTATAAATTTATAACTTTTATTTCACCTAAGTTAATTATTTTTTTTCCTTATAAGAATTATTTTTGCGCCTAACTTTACTTATTTATATTCATAGTGGTGTTATACTATTAATAATAATTGTAAATTCTACCCAAGTTAATTGTTCATTTTTCATATGTCACTTGTTTATTTTTCACATATATCAATCATTTATTTTACTAGGAACAATAAGGTTATTTTAATTAGTTTTTTAATTTCATTTCAATCCTCCCCATGTATATTAAAATTTTAAAACTTTGGAGAGTTTAATTGCAATTAGGTTGGGTCAAGGGTCTCACTGAAATTTTTCCATATATATTTATGCGCAGTAAATTTAAATATGAATCTATCATGTAATTTCCTTTTTAGCTAGTCTCGTGTTTTACATTGTTGGATTAAATAAACCTGCATGCAAAAAATGTGGGGCAAGTCATCTCTTGTCGATCGACTTCTAAGAAGCAGGGAAATTATAATGTTTATTGACTCTATAGCGGCCTTGAGTCTCATTTTTGGCTCTCCATGGTAGAGGGCACTCTACTTTTGATATTACTAGTGAACAGTACATGAGGAAACTTCTTATGAATGATTGGTAGATCATATCATATATAACCACACACTTAAAAAAAAAAGTTAATATTTATGCTAATTGATCAACTCGCGCAATTTGCTCATAATATAATTAAACACAGTTTAGGAACATGACTGAACCTCCTCTGAATATCAGCTGACAGCTATATATATATATATATAAATCTTATCGATAATCAGGTTTTATTTGTGAATTACCATGCCATGGGCATGATATTTTTAGTTTTTGATTTAGGTCTTTCTTTGGCTTTAAAAGGGGGGGGGGAGGCTTGATTAACGTCCGAAGTCATCCTTCAACCTCGAACGCAAATCCATAAACAATGTCCTTAATCTGCAAATCAAGCGACTTATCGTCAAACGGCTTTGAAATTCTATGATGTTGCAACTATTACAAGTTATAGCTTGTGACCTTGTTTCGAGAGGATAGAGTAGTACTGAGTTTTAAATTGGCACACATAGGTTGGTTTGGTTTGCTGTGTTTGGAGTCAGAGGAAGCATTTAATTTAATTTGGATAAGAGATATACATATAGGGAAGGACGGTCACACCTTTCTATAGCTACACGTACGAGTTAGGGCGCCGTAAGTCGGCCAATTAATTGATGTCCAACAAAAACCGATTGCTTGCTTGCTCAATCTACAGAACTAGAAAAGTTGACTGAGATATAGACAGTGAAAATCGATCTGCTCATGTGGGAAATAAGTCTCAATTATTTTCAAAAGCATGCGTAACAACGTGTTTATTTTTAATTTTTAATTAAATTAAAACATGTAGATCTTTTATATCTTATCTATTCTATAACAATCTCTTAATATTATGAACAAGTTAAAATCCATTTATCTTAATTTGATCCGATAATAATAATATATTTAGTATATAAAACTAAATACTTAAGAGTCTTTCTCTTTGAATACTATGAATAAGAAATATTGAGTGATCAAAATGGTACGATAAAAAAAAAACAGTCGTGATCGACTCTCATAAACAAGTTAGTCAAACTCTTATTAGCTAGTAAAACTAAACCATACATAACTTGCAGAAATAAAGAGCATGGTCAAGGATTCTATTATCATATATTTATTTCAAACTATGTTGGGCATATTTTTAATATACTTTAAAAAAACCATGCATAATACATTTTAGTACTTGGAACCTCTAATGTCATGTCCCTTGTCATGCATATTTCTATTTAAGAGTATGATACAACAAGGGTTATGAGAGCGGTCATAATTCCGTGCTAATAAGCATTGATGAAAGGAAGCACCGTATCTATGGGATTATTAAGGTGCTTGCGTGCTGACTCTAAACTCCCGCTGAAGTAGATGTCAGAATCCCAGACAGAAAGGCTTTATCTATATGCTACACACACACACATTGGCAACACAAACTTCAAGAACCTGACCACAATCACATCACCCTTTGAACTGCATTGTCTAGTCTTTCTTTTCTTCTGTAAATTTACATTCTCCAGGATCGTCACTCCCATTCTCTCTTTTTCTCTTTCTTTTCTTTTGGAAACAAACTATACATGTCCGTGAATCATGAAGCTAGTCTCTGCCTGGTGTTCATTTTGATGAGTTGTTTTTTCCCTAATCGGAAGAATGATAAGCAAGCACACATGTAAAGCAATCCATGCATGGAATCTGATGAAATCAATTGCCTCAACGGGGAATCAAGCGAAGCCAACCCAAATTATATATCGACACAGATTGCAATTATGTAACCAAATAAACAATAGAAGGAGCTGCTCAATATACAATAGTTAATACGGACACATATTTTCGACGTCATGAATCAAGCCATCATCATTCCTCAAATGTATATTTTTCTTTTTTGAAACTTCATGTGATATATTTGAGTTTTTTTTAAATAAAATTTCACTATTCATGCTTTTACACAAGAACCTGATTATTAACATGTCAAATTTCAGGGCGCCTGGCCCCATTTAGAAATTAAATGTGAGATAAGTTACATCCTCTTAAATAATAATAGATAATAGATTACTCATCTACCACTTAAATTGCATAATTATATCTTTCTGTAGCTTCATTGTATTTCAGTGCACAATGAACTAAGCAAACTATATATGTGTTCCTTAATAGTATAGGTGATGTGGATTCTCAGGAAGCTACAAAAGCATCCAGAACTATTGCACAAGCAAACACACCCACCCCAACACCCACCCACATATATGGATGAAAAGCAGAGAGAATGGAAAGTAAAGAAACACTTGAAAGCAAGCTAATAAAGGATAAGCAATGATGTAAGCAAAAACTTACGTATATAGCCATTAGCTAGCCACAATAACCTCAGAAGCAACCTCATGAGCAGAGCCACTGGAACACACAGATACATGCATAGGATACCACATGATACATAAACATCACATTACAACACAATACAATATGTATTTAGGCGCAATATTTTGAAGCCCTAATATCTCGCATATTGTACGAATGTCACAATCGTATCCCGTTTTCAAAGTGTCGAGGGGCGCAAAAATTCGTGGAGTATAACGAGTAAAAGGCTTGTGAATTGCGATCGACTAGAGTACTGAAATTGTTTAAAATCGGTCAATATTGCTTACTAACTTGCTGACGAAGATGGTGGCAATGGTGGTGGAGGCTCTTGAGGACGCTTCCGTTTCTTCTTCTGGTAGCTGATACCTCTAGCTTTGGCTTGAGAATCACGCACTTCGCGAAGATACAACCTCACGGCTCGAGCACCGAAAGGGTTCGTCTCCGGCTTCCCTCCGTTCTCCTCGAAGGCGGCCCTGAGGCGGCCGACAAGTGCATCGAGGCTGCCCCATGCTTGACGCAGAGGACAAGGGCAGGGTGCAGGAGGGTTTGGGTGGCCAAAGAAGGGACAGAGCTGGTTGTGAACCTTGGTCTTCCCGAACTGGTCGAGGTATCGGAGGAATTCTAGGACATGGGCGCCACTGCATCGGGACAGCGACAGCGGCGGTCGGTGGTTCCGGAGGTACTGGCCAAAGGTGTTCCAGTCGCGGCGCTTCTGGTTCTCGTAGCGGCTGAGAGTGGCGGATGGGGGTGACGATGAGGATGAAGATGTGACGTTTGAGGTTGGGAAGTCAAATTCTTGAAGAGGGTTCATGATTTGTGTTTTGGTACACCGACTCACTTTTTTTTATCAGTGAAACGAGGATGTGGAAGAGATCAAGTTGAGGAAGCTCGGTCGGTTTTGAAGAAGAAAGCCAAGAAAATGACTCTGATCTGCTTTCAGCACAGTGTTCAACTCTGCTTAATTCATGAGTGAGAGAGAGAGAGAGAGAGATCGGAAGGGTGGGCTGATCACTGATGAGGGGGACGAAGTTATAGTAGTTAATTGGAAGAAGGGTAAAAGAACAGTAGATAGAGGAACACTGTATTGGTTTACTTCAAGTGGTTTGTTTGGGTTTTGATAAATCCTAGATTACTTGAAAGGTTGTGATGTGGTGGTTGCTTTTGGTAACCCTGTGAATTCTTTTAGGAGGAGGTCTTGTAGGTTGTTTCTATATCACCTATGCGCCTAAATTTGAATAATTCACGACCTACCATGTTATCTATAATTAGACTCCTCATTATGACTGCGAGACCGTAACGCGAGTGATTTCCTTGCATTCAAACTATTCATGGTATAACAATATCTTTCGGCTTTACATGTACGTTGAAATAATGTGAATTTGCATTAATTAATTATTTGAACGCAAAACAATTGGCCTTATGATATTGTATAGGTTATAATAGGTAGGTGGTGAATTTATTGAATGGAAATCTAACCTATAATTTTTAACTTTTTAGCTATCAATTATTATTTTAATTTTAAGCTTATTAAATTAAAAGGATCTGGGAAAGTTAAAGATAAATAATTAATTATATATATAAGTGAATATAATCCTCATCTTCACAAGTTAAGATATCTCACCCTCCATTCTTTCTCATATTTCTCTACATTCTTTAAAAACAAGGGGATCTGATAAGTTGTAAACATCTCGCTCTCGAGGTAATCAAGATCTTTATTGAGTCTTTATTTTCTTTACATTCTCCATAGAATAACAGGTACTCTCATAAAACGTCTCAACTCTAATTATTTTACCTAGTTATTGACATATATTTTCAGCAATGCATATTCACTGCCTCCGTCTTAATTACAGAGAAGACTTAACTACTTTATAATTTTAATTTCCAAGGAGCAGTGGTTGTTATCTTTATATTTATATTTTTTTTATTTTCTGTATGTCTTATAATTTTAAGGATGCCAACTTTTTGGTGCAATAAAGGATGATAAGATTTTAAAAATATAAATATTACATCTTTGAACCATATGTTGAATACTGAGTAGGGCTTTTTTGACTTTGCCTTATAATTATAAGATGAGAGGAAGTATTTTCATATTTTTTCGGCTTATAAATATTAAAAACACGTAATTCAATTTTTAAGAAGATTTTGGATTATTTAGTTTATAGGAATTGTATATGACTAATGAATTTATATTGATATATAAATACTAATACATAATATAAAATTTATAATAAATCTCACTTTTTAAAAATTCTGAGCATTTATAAAAAATATTAAAAATATAGTTAATTTTTAAACTCCATTTAATACACCATCTAATTTATTTTTAAAAGCGAAGAGTCCACTGATTGAGTTATGTTTCTTCCATTAGCACTTGAGGATATAATTGTTTTCATATTTATTACTGATTTTGATTTCCATTAGCGAGATTGATATGATAGTCACGCACATTCGCAAATAATCTTGCTGGTCCAGGGAGAGTTTGTCGAATAAGATTCAAGGAGCTCTGCTACCCTATATTAATAAACTTTACATACAAGTATAATTATTTACACATGATAATCACGTATTGTTTTTTTTTTAAATTAATCATTTAACTTTTATAGTTTTGACTTAATCTTTTAAATTTTAACTCATTATAATTCAACCTCTGAAGTTTTAACTTGATTATAACTCAATTCGTGAACTTTACCGCTTACAATTTAATACCTATAGTTTCAATAACTTAAATATTAATATCTATATTTTTTAAAAATAAAATTATGAAGATTAAAACTATACTAAAATTTATTACTAATATTTTTAAATTACTAAACCATTTTATTGCTTACAAATATTATGAACATTAAAATTTTAAAATATTTTTAATCTTTATAATTTTATTTTTTAAAATATAGTGACTAATATTTAAATAGTTAAAACTATAAAGATTAAATTATAAGATGTATAGTTTAGAAATTGAATTACAATTAAATTAAAAATATAAAAATTAAGTTATAACATGTTAAATTATAACTGAATTAAAATTATAAAGACCAAATGTTATTATTATTATCATTTTCGCATTGTTCTATAGAAATGGAAAGTAACAAAATTTCAAAGACACTGACAAATATTCCTCTAATTTAATATATAAATTACTTTTAAAAATATAATCTGATTCACTTTATAAGTTATTTGTTGATGAAATTATTTTATTTTAAATTAAAATTTTTAAATTATTTTAAAAAGTAGAAGAGAGAAAGACAGAAAAATAATATTATATCATTGATTTTTTTTTATTTTTATTTAAAAATTATATTTAAAATTTTATTTATTTTTATTTTTTATATTTTTATTATATTAATATCGATGAAGTTAATAAAAATAATTTATAAATAAAATTAAACGGAGAACATGTGAGATGGGAGATCCAAGGAAGGAAAGTGGGGGGCATAATTGATGAATTGAGTGGGAAGGAAGGTGGGTTTGGTCCTTTACTAGCTTTTTATTGCTGGATTGGAAAGAGGCTGACACTGAAGGGTGATTGATGCAGACAGGATGTAAAGACGATGGGTTTAAAATAAATAATAATAATAATAATAAAAGGGAATAACATGATTTTGTTTCTTTAGCCTTTTGGTTTGATTGACAACACCTTTATTGAAATGACCTCGTTGCCCTTTCCTGTCTCACAGTCTCAGCTTTGCTTCAAAGGATGAGATGGATTGACCTTTATTGAAATGACCTCGTTACCCTTTCCTGTCTCATAGTCACAGCTTTGCTTCAAAGGATGAGATGGATTCTCACTCATGAGGAGTTAGCCACCATCATCAAATGGGTCCCCTTCAGTAAGTGCAAATCCCCAGAGATTTTTGTCCACCCTATAATGATTTCAATCATCAACTAATTCCACTCCACTTGTCGTCAATTAAATGGAACCATTTTTTTACTTTATTTAAAAATATAAAATATTTTAATTAATTTTTTTATTAATAAAATAATTATTTATTTTAAATTAATTTTATTTTTTTTATTTATTTTTATTAAATACTTTAAATAAATATAAAGTCACTCTTAATAAAATATTAAAAAATATTACTTATATTTTTAAACATTTAACTTTTTAAAAATTATTTATATTTTTAAATAAAAAATATACACATAATCATCAATAATCAATATACTATGTGTATCATAAAAAAATATTAAGAAATCACACATTATATTGCTAGTTATTTGATATGTAGTTAATATATCATACTATATATAAAGATGAATATTGACTACTGATAGTCACTTTTTTTTTTTTTTTGTGTGATTGATTTTCAAATTTTATATGCTTGCGTACTCTTACGAGGGTAGAGTCCTAATAATCAATATTATTATTCATATGTGCTAGTATAAAATTTATAACAAGTTATAATTTTATATTTTGAGTGGTATAATTAATTTTTTTATTTTGAATAAGTTTATGAGATTAATTCAATGATATTGTTATTTTTCATTGAAAAAAATATAATTATTAATTCTTGAATTTATGAAATTACAAGGACCGAATTATTTTAAGTAACTCCTTCTGTTAAAAAATATAAGATATTTTTTTGAGAAATAGAATGTTAAAAAATATAAGGCATTTTTAGTTTTTTGAAATTTAAAAATGCCCCTTTTGATAGTGATTTTATATTTATTATAGAGTATTTAATAGAGATAAATATAAAAAGATAGAGTTAGTTTGAAAGTAGGTAATTATTTTATTGGAGAGTAAAATTTAATTAAAAATATTTATATTTTTGAACATAGGGAGTAAGATTTAATATTAAATTAATGATTGAGTTAAAAAAAAAACGCTACAATTTTCCTTGTTTATTTTCTTGTTAGCACACAGGTGTAGCCTCTTCTTTACCTGTCCCTTCTGTTTTTTCACACACATATATCCCTATTATTTAGCTTCATTCATTAAATATCGTGCATGACACGAATAAGACCTCAATTTGAAGTCAAAGGAAATTAATAATGAATAATTATCTAAAATTAGCTCTATCCCGCTTTTTTTTTTTTTATTAACAGCTCGTAAAATAAAATGTTAAATGCATGTAGAAGCCCCTAAAGTGGACTCCTCATGCAACAGTGTTTCGCTTGCACAAAATGATAAATGAGCAACATTATATAGGTTTGTAAATAGTATTACTTACTAGATATTTTATATTTTATATTGACATTGATATATTAATGAAAAATAATTTTTTCTAATTAACGGTCCGTGTGTTACTTAATACATGGTTCTAGAAAATCCACCCTTACAGGGTACATTGCTAGCCCTGCTTCTCGGGTGAACTAATGCTAGCCCTTTTAATTTGTGGCTGCCGTGTTAAATTCAAGTTGAAGTCATGATTTAAAAAAAAAAAAAAGTGTGCCGAAAATGAACGGTATATTGCACATATAGATTCACTATGCAGTGTTCCCTTGCCTTTTGTACAATCAAACCAGAGATCATTGGATCCCGCAGAAGAAGAAAAGACGTCGCAGAACAGTGTCAGTGAATCAGGAAGACAAGAAGCATTTTTTTTTTTTTTAAACCAAAGGCACGAAGCACGTGAAAATCAAAACTGATCGTCAGTCCTATGTCAAAATCAAACAGGGCTGTATTTATATTTCATTGTTTGAATTACGCTCTGGAACAAAATTTTCTGCCGGCAAAGTACTTGAACTAATTTGCCTAATGTAAGCTTTTCTTTACACCTGGAAGATTATTTGTGCTGTTATTCTGCATAATCATAATATTGAGACCGGGCCTAGGTAGAAGACTAAGAAAGTAAGTTCATGATTCCATCAAACTAACCTGATGCCTAGATGAACAGAATAGGAAGCTAAGTTTAGGAAGGTGAAGACTCAACGTTCTCTACAAAGAGGTGATGGTGGTGTGCCCGTAGCTGTAAAATGCGTTGCTAATAATGGACTGTATTTCCTAAGCACCTTATCTTTGTTTTTGCTCCACCATTCTTCTGCCTGTTGTTCATCGAACCTTCGC